GCTGGGGTGCTGCCCGGTTGGTCCAGTAGCGCCCAGAGCGGCGCTACGGGACCAACTGGCAGCGCCCCAGCTGCTGTACCACAGGTGTCCGGAGCAAAACCGCGGAGCACGGGGGCAGCGGGACAGCCCAGACGCGCTGTGGCTGTCCTGCTGCCCTCGGGCTCCGTGGCTTTGCTCTGCTTTGCTCCCCGTCCCCCTGGTCTGCAGACGGGGAGCAAAGCGGCAGAACACGCGGGCAGCGGACAGCCCAGACACATCTGGGCTGTCCGCTGCCCGCGTGCTCCGCCGCTTTGCTTCCTCTCCCTGGTCTGCTGGAGACCAGGAAGACGGGCCCCGTTTGTAACTGCGGATCCGACATAAGTCGGATCCGCGTAACTCGGGGACTGCCTGTACTCCCTAGTAGCCTGCCTTCTCCTGCACTCAGTGTAGCTTGAAGCAAGAGAGAATCTGACTCAATTTTTCTAAATGTTGTTATTATTTCTATGCCAGAAATACATATCTCGGTCCATTTTGCTTCAAATGAGATTGCACTAAGTTGGCCAAGTATTTTGGGGCAGGCATGCAAAACAATTTTTTACTTCTTTCCACACCTTCTCAAACATAACCAGTTCACGTCCAGGCCACTGTGCACAGCCCCAGAAACAGGATGTGCAGGAAGTACCCCTCTGACTTAACTAACTTATTTTACTTGAAATGTGGTGTGAGGGAAACCTGTACATTGATAGATTTTAAAGGCAGAAGGAACTGTTATGATCTAGTTTGACCTGAACAGCACAGTCCATTGAATTTCCATCCTCCTCGGGATTTGAGTTAGCACAGGGCTCCTCCTTTTCTGTTCAAACAAGAAGGTGGGTTCCTTTTCCTTTTCTTTCCTTCTCCTGATCTTGTGGTCACTCATCCATCCCCTCTCTTCTCTATTCTTCACTGGCAAATGAAGTGAAGATTTAGTAAGTTGGGGAATCTGAAACTGGAACAACAGTGGGAGCTAGTGACTGGTGACAGAACTTATGGAGCTCTCACTGCCTATAAGAGTACTTCTAGGGTGTGTCTAGACTACAGAGTTTTGTCAACAAAAGTGGACTTTTGTCGACAAAACTATACCTGCGTCTACACTACCGCTGCGTTCTGTCGACATAACGTCGACAGAACTCTGCAGTTTTGTCGACGCTGGTAAACCTTATTTTACGAGGCATAACACCTTCTGTCGACAGAGTTTCTGTTGACAGAAGGTGTTATTGAATGTAAACTGTCCTTTGCGTATACACTACCATGTCAACAAAGCAGCTTGCTTTGTCGACAGAACTCAATGTAGTCTAGACGCTCTTTGTCGACAGAAGTTTTGTCGACAGTATCTGTCGACAAAACTTCTGTCGACAGAAGCCTGTAGTCTAGACGTACCCCTAGACTGCAAGCTCCTTCCAAAAGAGAGCGTCCACATTGCCAAAGCACATAAAAAAAAGATCTGCTTTTTTGAAAGATAGCATCCACACTGAATGGACGCCATCTCGCATGTAAGCTGTAATTACTGGACATAGTGGCCACCAGGGCAACTGTGCTTTTTCCTCGAGGCCTCTTCTTTTGAAAGAACTCCCTCTTCCGTGTCCACATATGCTGTTTTTTGAAAGAGCTCTTTTAGAAAAGGTGTTCTTCCTCGCAGATTGAGGTTTACCAGTGTTGGAAAAAACCCTGCATTCTTTCAATTTTCTTTTGAAAGAACGCAGCAGTAGTGTGGATGTAAGTGAAGTTTTTTGGAAAATTGGCCATTTTTCCGAAAAAACTGCAGTCTAGATGCACCCTACATGGCATAGCACTCACATGACAAAAGATGGGATGAATTGTTTCCAACTGGGAGTCAGTCCCCTTCCTTCCTTCTTCTTTCTATAGATCTCTAACCGTGCTGGCCAGGGAGTGAGCAGAGCAGAGCAGGAAAAAGAGTCTGCAGCCTCCTCTTCTCCCTGCAGAGGAAAAAGGAGACAGTGGCTATGTCTATACTATAGCATTTTTCCGGGATATCAGAGGTATCCCAGAAAAACTCTGCCATGTCTAGGGAATGCGTCTGCTTTTTCGGATCAGTTTCCAAAAAAGCAGGCATGTTCTTTCAGAAGCCCTGTATTTCTCATTTTATGAGGAATAAGGGCTCTTCCAAAATAGGAGATTTTCCCCCACATTTGGCCCCGTGTAGATGGGCCAAATGTTGGAAAAACCTCTTCTGAAAAAAGAATCGGAAAAAGGTATGCAAATTGTGAATCACAATTTGCATACCTTTTTCTGAAAAAGAACTATAGTCACTGGCATCCCCCTTCACCTGAAAAGAATCTAGGGCAGGATGGATAAAAATCAATCATTTAAAAAAATTAAAAATCAGATTTTTTTTATTTAAATAGGATTTTTTTAAATTAGGAAAATAATAAATTTCCCATTTAAAAATAACAATTACAATGAACTTTCATCATAAACATGCAGTCTCATAAAAATGAAATAATGGCTCTATTCTGCCTAGCCTAACTACCAACTCTTGCTTCTTGAAAGTTGTGGGCTTTCAATTTCTGTTTAGCAGACTAAACAGTAACATGTGCAAAGAAAGACACAAGCTGGATTGTTCTTATTCGGTGCTTATGTGGTGTTGGATGCTAGCCAAGCATGGCGGAGGAGTTAGTTAAGACAGAGAGAAAATATATAGGAAAAGACGGAGGCAGGATAGAAAAGAAAGGTGGAGTGGACTGGAAAAAAGGAAGACATTATTCAGCCACACAGAGCTTCCTATATTCTGCCACACTAGCCACAGAAAAACCATCATGATTTCTGTGTGTCAGAGAGACCCTGGGAATATTTTGAAGCAATTCGTTCCTTAGGTAAAAAAGGAAAATGTGTCAAGTGTAAGTAGTGCAAGAAGAAGATGCAAGGCCTACTTGCAAGAATGAAACATCATAAGGAAAACTGCTTATTGGGAAAAACTGATGTAGATGAAGAGGTGGATATGGCTGAGTGGATCAACTAGTTAGTAACTTAAATAATTCACTTTGCAATGCATCATTCTTCAAGACTCTCCCTATGTCTTTTAGTATAAGTGTGATTTGACAAATAAATTCCCAAGCTGTTTGCTGTGTTGGATGTTGCTAGAAAAAAAAGTTTACCTTAGCTAATCCTTATGGCTTGTTTAATAGGTTAACTAGGTTTAGATCTATCACCCAAGTATACAATGAAGAAAGGTGCAGTATGAGAAACCTAGAGTGCCAGTTGTCACAGAGTGTCATTTTCTTATTTTACTAAGGGGCTGCATCCCTGCTCACTATGCTCGCCAACCTCTTTCTCTATGGGAGTAGGCAGCCCCAGCTCTCCCCCCACTGGCTGCCAGGGAGGACTGGAGCCAAGGCTGCGGCAGGGGAAAGGCTCCCCCCCCCCCCCCGACA